GCCGTGACGGGGACCCCGGCCGTGACACCAGTGGGGCCGTGACGGGGACCCCAGTGACACCAGTGGGGCCGTGACGGGGACCCCAGTGACACCAGTGGGGCCGTGACAGGGACCCCAGTGACACCAGTGGGGACGTGACGGGGACCCCAGTGACACCAGTGGGGCCGTGACGGGGACCCCAGCGGTGACACCAGTGGGGCCGTGACGAGGACCCCAGTGACACCAGTGGGGCCGTGACGGGGACCCCAGTGCCGCCAATGGGGCCGTGACGGGGACCCCAGCGGTGCCACCAAGGGACTGTGATGGGCACCCTGGTGCCACTGATGGGGCTGTGATGGGGACCCCAGCGGTGCCACCAATGGGGTTGTGATGGGGACCCAGATGGCACCAATGGGGCCTTGAGGAGACCCCAGTGCCACCAATGGGACCGTGACGGGCACCCTGGTGTCACCGGTGGGCCCGTGATGGGGACCCCGGTGCCACCAATGGGCCCGTGACGGGGACCTCAGTGACACCAATGGGGCCGTGATGGGTAAGCCAGTGCCGCCAATGGGCCCTTGATGGGCACCCTGGTGCCACCAATGGGACCGTGACGGGCATCCCAGTGCCACCAATGGGCCCGTGATGGGGACCCCAGTGCCACCAATGGGCCCGTGATGGGCACCCCGGTGCCGCCAATGGGCCCGTGCCGGGGACCCCGGTGCCGCCAATGGGCCCGTGATGGGCACCCCAGTGACACCAATGGGGCCCTTGATGGGCACCCCGGTGCCACCAATGGGCCCGTGACGGGGACCCCGGTGCCACCCATGGGCCCTTGATGGGCACCCTGGTGCCACCAATGGGGCCGTGATGGGCACCCCAGTGCCACCAATGGGGCCCTTGATGGGCACCCCGGTGCCACCAATGGGCCCGTGACGGGGACCCCAGTGCCACCCATGGGCCTGTGACGGGCACCCCAGTGCCACCAATGGGCCCGTGACGGGGACCCCAGTGCCACCATGGGGCCGTGACGGGGACCCTGGTGCCACCAATGGGCCCGTGCCGGGGACCCATCAGTGCCACCCATGGGCCCGTGCCGGGGACCCATCAGCGCCACCCCGGCCCGTGCCGGGCAGCCCGCCGCCGCGCGCCCCGCGCGCACGCACCCACGCGGAAGATGAGCTCGTCCTCGATGGGGTTCTCCTTCCTCTTGCCGCTGCTGTACATGCTGGACGGGCGGCGCACGGCCTTCTGGCGGATGTGGCCGCCGCCGGGCGACTTGACGCGGCGCTTGACGTCGTCGGGCGAGGGCGGCACGTCGCTCGCCTTGACGGCGCGCACGCGGAACGGGCTGCCGCGGATGGGCTGCCCGTAGAGCAGGATGGAGAGCACGAAGTCGCCCTCGGCGCGCGGCGTGTAGAGCAGCTCGTAGGTGCCGTTCTTGTTGTCGAGCACCTCGGCGGCGGCGGCGGCGCCGTCGGGCGCCGTCACCTGGAAGCGCAGGCTGGCGCTGCCGCTGCGCACCAGCTCGCCGTCCTTGTCCTTGGTGGTGACGCTGAGCGAGCAGGGCTGCCCCACGACGGCGTGCCGCAGCCCCTCGCCCGTGGCCACCGTCTCGTGCGCCGTGGCGCTCGTGGTGATGAGCACGCCCAGGTTGAGGATGGAGCGGCGCACGCCCTCCGTCTCCACCGCGAAGTCGAGCTGCGCGTTCTCGTGCGGCCGCTCGGGGAAGTGGTGGCTGGCGAGCGCGCTGAGCCGCTCGCTCATCTGCTTCTGCACGAGCAGCACCTCGGGCGCCGTGCCGTGGTGCAGCGCCTGCTCCGTGAAGGCGCAGCTGCTCAGGATGTTCTCCTGGCCCTGGCGCAGCGCCTCCAGCTGCGCCTGCAGCACCTGCGGGGCGGCGCGTCACCGGGGCGCCCGCCGAGCGGGGATCCCGCTGCCACGGCACCCAGGGCACCCAGTGCACCCACTGAGCGGGGATCCTGCACCCAGGGCACCCAGTGCACCCACTGAGCGGGGATCCCGCTCCCACTGCACCCAGTGCACCCAGGGCACCCGCTGAGTGGGGATCCTGCACCCAGGGCACCCAGTGCACCCGCTGAGCGGGGATCCTGCACCCAG